AAACCATCACCATCATCAACCATCATCAATCATCACAACCTCCATCCACCCATAACCAACATCCATCATCACCACCACCAATCATCATCAGCAGCACCCATCATAGACACCAACCACCCATCATCATCACCCATTACCACTACCAATTTCCATAATCACCACCCATCACCACCCATCATCACCACCACCCATCAACATCATCATCACCACCCCCACCCACCCATCATCATCATCACCCATCATCACCACCATACATGATCAAGAAATATCATCACCACCCATCATAAATTAACAAACGCACACAGCTACAAACATAGATATGTAACCTGACGCAGACAAAGATTACAGACTCACACAAATAAACAATCTCATTAAAGACTTAATTATAAAAAGCACAAATTACCCCTGCCAGGATAGGTGCACAGAGACAAATCCTTTACACAATAATTTACATGGAACTCAAATTCACACTTAGTAATACCACCTCACTCACTTAAATATAACTACAGATCAATAATTATAATACAATCCTGAATTTAAAAGTAAACCAACGGGATGGTGTTTATACGCTTGCAATTTAATGAATGAAATACAAGTTCATAATTTCACTTAATCAAAAATAACCAGGAACGAATATGAAGGCTGAGGCCTCGGTGTATGCCAGGCCTGACGGCTAGGCCTCGCTTCAGTCCTCGCCGCAGGAACGGCGACATCAAATACAGCACGATGCGAGGGGGCAAATGTTTCATGTCGAACCAAGGGCACTGCTGTTTCCGGTGACGCGCACCACCCGCACTGCACCACGTGGTGCGCCCGCCGAGCGCGTGGGGGCAGAGCCTCGCGGTAGTGACGTCACCTCTGTTACATCATAGCCACGCCTCCACCCGCAGTCGAGAGGAATGCACACGAGGGAGCAGCAGAATTTCAGTTTTCAGTTTTCATTTATTTGGTATAGCCCTGTGAGCCATTCGGCTCTTGAATCGGGTGCAACGGCAACAAACAAAAAACATGAACAAGAAAACATCTTAAAGTGACTATGTGACTGTGCAAACAGAAAATCCAGGAAAAAAACAGCAAAATATTCCTGAAAAAGCACCCTAAACCAACGCTGTGTGCAAAAATCCTAATGGGATGCAAGTCAAACAACCACAAGAATTCTTAGATTAAGGCCATCAGTCTAACTCCGTACTACAACAAACAAACATGACCAAACCAAAAAACTTTTCGACATCACCAAAATAAAGCCATAAAAGCAATGTAACAGTGATCATAGGAACTGTGACCGAATTTTCACAATAAACGACAACATTTAACACCAAACCCTAGAGCCATAGCTGGCTGCATGAGTCACTCCACAACAACAGGAGCATCAGTCGGAGTATCAAATTTTTCAATGCACTTTTAAGATCAGCACACTAAATCTAAATACAGATAATACTTTGCAGCGGTCATTCGGAGAGAAACATTTTATTTTATTTTAGGCCACTGAATAGCATTGGCAGCTAGGGGTGTACAACTCCTCTAGAGCAGTAATGAGTGAAGATCGCATAGGTAGTGATTCACGTTGCAGTTTATTGGAAATAGCATTCCAGACCCTGGGGGCATCAATAGCAAAGGCCCTTCCTCCAGTTTTTGTACGGCAATAGGGAATGTGAAGCTAGTAAATGAGCGAAGACCTGAGGTCAAATTTGTTCTTTGAAACAGAGAGGAGATCCAGCAGGTAGTCTGCGGATTTTTTTAGTAAGTACATCGTGAATAAATAGGATCTGGTGCACAAGCCGTCGAACATTAAGAGATGTTAAGTTGACCCATTGTAGAGATCACAGTGGTGAGTCCTATATAGGCAGTTCAATGCAAAACTTAAGGCCGAGTGATAGATGGAATCAAGCTTCTTCAGTACAGTACTTGGGGCTGATTTATACACGATGTCACAGTAATCCAGTAGAGGCAGTATGGAAGCTTTTATCAATTCCAAACGGAACATAGGGGGTTGGCAGTGCTTGTGTCGATACAGAAAACCAATTTTTATTTTTGTTTTTTTACCAATATAATCAATGTGATCTTAAAATTCAGTTGTGAATCCAGGATGACCCCAATATACTCATAGATCTTGACTTGCTCTATTTGATAATTATTTAAGGAATCTAATTGGGGAAAAATAACTTCCTGCTTTAGTCCTTGTGAGAAGCATAGCACCTTGGTTTTGGAGGTATTCAGGACTAGTTTAAGAGCAACTAGCTAATGTTGTAGTTTGTTGAAATCACCCTGTAGCTTAGCATCACGTCATCCGGAGAGCGGCCAGCAGTAATCAGTATCGTGTCATCTACAAAAAGATTACCCTGGAATGATCCAGGTCAGTGCCCAAGTCATTGACATATAGAGTGAACAAGAGGGGGCTGAGGATGGAACCCTGTGGAACCCCTTTTATTACCTGAACACTGGTTGACCTCCAAACATGTGAATACAGTTGTGCGAGAAAAGAGGAAATTGTTTTACCATTTTACTGCGTTTTAGGAAAAAACCGAGGCAACTTAGTCTATGATGATTGTGTTCTGATTGCTGGCACAATTGTGCCCTGCATTACATGTATTGAATGCTATCCAACACTGGAGAGGAGTCTGACTTTAAGTTCAGACCCTAGCTGCTGCCATAGACGGCTCCAATCTGTGATGTCACAGCCACATGGGTGGTATCTCTGACATCAAGTGACCTACGACGTCATTCTCAGGTTAACACAAATAATTTAAGTATGGTCATTTGACCCCAATGACCTACAAGGCATACGGGGCCTTTATCAAGCAGTCGATTTAAACAAATGGGCAGTACATCAACATGCTTGTATGGATTAAAGGTTAAATATCACGGTTAAGTCTGGCGATTATGTTTAATGCAATAGGCAGTTGGAATTAACATTTTCGGGTGGATGGATAAGTGAGTGATCTGACGCACGCGTGAGTGGGCCAACAAGCGAGAGAGTGGGTTTGTAAAGCAACAGGCACGAAAGTGATTGGATTGGTACAGTGAGTGGTCAAATATGTAATAATTGAGAGGATGAGTGATTCAGAAGGTTGCTAAATCTTAACGTTTTAACAACCTCCCCAGGCCCTCCAACATCAAACAGAAACTTCTCCTTCCCAACAACATGGACAGTCAACGCAAGTGGGCTGAGATCTTGGAGGACGGCTTGTGCACCACGTGGCTTATATGCAGAGGAGGAGGCTCCCTAATTAATTACTTTTATTTTTCGATTTAAAGCTTTCGTGACTGCAGGGATTCATATTCTTGGTTCTTTCGGTAGTCACGTAGAAGGAAAATAATAAAATAAAAATAATCTGTCTTATTTTATTATTTCTCTTCTACGTGACTTTACCGAAAGAACCAAGAATATAATTACTTTTTGTAGACGTGGCTTGGTGGTGATGGGATGATGTAACGGTCAAGTGTAGCAGAGAGCATGGATTTAGATCAGGTTTCAGCCATCTTTGTTTAAATGGGGGTCTCAAGTTTATGGAATTGATGATCTGGAATTGATGGCCGCTCTCCGGATGACGTGATTGCTAAGCTACAGGGTGATTTTAACAAACTACATCAGCTAGTTGCTCTTAAACTAGTCCTGAATACCTCCAAAACCAAGGTGCTATGCTTCTCACCAGGACTAAATTAGGAAGTTATTTTTCCCCAATTCCATTCCTTAAATAATTGTCATATAGAGCAAGTCAAGATCTATAAGTATCTTGGGGTCATCCTGGATTCAAAACTGAATTTTGAAGATCACATTGATTATATTGGTAAAAAGACAAAAATAAAAATTGGTTTTCTGTATCGACACAAGCACTGCTTACCCCCAATGTTCCGTTTGGAATTGATAAAAGCTACCATACTGCCTCTACCTGACTACTCTGACATCGTGTATAAATCAGCCCCAAGTACTGTACTAAAGAAGCTTGATTCCATCTATCACTCGGCCTTAAGATTTACATTGAACTGCCCATATAGGACTCACCACCGTGATCTCTACATTGGGTCAAACTTAACATCTCTTAATGTTCGACGGCTTGTGCACCAGATCTTATTTATTCACGATGTACTTACAAAAAAATCCGCAGACTACCTGCTGGATCTCCTCTCTGTTTCAAAGAACAAATTTGACGATAGGTCTTCACTAATTTACCAGCTTCACATTCCCTATTGCCGTACAAAAACTGGAGGAAGGGCCTTTGCTATTGATGCCCCCAGAGTCTGGAATGCTATTGCCAATAAACTGCAACTTGAAGCGCTACCAATGAAATCTTCTCTCAAAACTGCTCTAGAGGAGTTGTCCACCCCTAGCTGCCACTGCTATTCATTGGCGTAAAATAAGATAAAATGTTTCACTCCGGATGACGCTGCAAAGTTTTATCTATATTTTTATTTAGAGTGCTGATCTTAAAGGTGCATTGAAAAATTTGATACTCCGACCAATGCTTCTGTTGTTGTGGAGTAACTCATGCAGCCAGCTATGGCTCTAGGATTTGGTGTTACATGTTATTTATGTAGTTTATTGTAAAAATTCGGTCACAGTCCTTGTGATCAATGTTACGTTGCAATTACGGCTTTATTTTTTGGTGATTTGGAAAAGTTTTTTGGTTTGGACATGTTTGTTTTTTTGTAGTACGGAGTTAGACTGATGGCCTTAATATAAGTTTTTGTGGTTGTTGTTGCTTGACTTGCATCCAACTGGGATTTTTTGCACACCGCGTTGGTGTACGGTGCTTTTTTCAGGAATATTTTTGCAGTTTTTTTACCATTAATTTTATGTTTGCACAGTCACATAGTCACTTTAAGATGTTTTTCTTGTTCGTGTTTTTTTTGTTTGTTGTGGTTGCACCCAATTCAACAGCCGAATGGCTCACGGGGCTATACCAAAATTAACTGAACTGAACTGAACACTCACCATGATACTCACACAACCACACACCATGATACTCACCCTCACTCACCATGATACTCACACACTCACCATGATACTCACACACTCACATACCCTCAAAAACACACCCCTACCATCCTACTCTCACACACGTCATGAAAGTCACACATGCACCATTACTCACACACAAGCCTACAAACTCACGATGACAACAGCCGTAATTTGCCACTACATGACGGTGATGTCATCACAACAACCCAGGTGCCATGGGTTGATTGCTGTGCCAGGCTAGGTGCAAGAGGAGGTCATGGGACAGATACTGATGCTATGGGTTGCCTGCTGTGCGACAATCCCACTTGGGCGACAGCCAAGGCCAAAGGTCGGAGTGCAGCCAGAAAACTCCTGAACCTGCACCACCTAGAGAGAAGGGGACATGGAGACATGGGGAGAGAGAGGAGGGAGGGAGACACGGGGAGAGAGAGGAGGGAGGGAGACATGGGGAGATAGAGGAGGGAGACACGGGGAGAGAGAGGAGAGAGACACGGGGAGAGAGAGGAGGGAGACACGGGGAGAGAGTGGAGGGAGACACGGGGAGAGAGAGGAGGGAGACACGGGGAGAGAGAGGAGGGAGACACGGGGAGAGAGGGGAGGGAGACACGGGGAGAGAGGGGAGGGAGACACGGGGGGAGTGAGACAAAGGAGGCACCTGTGGGCCAGATGCCTCCTTTGTCTCCCCCCCCACCACCGCCACTGCTGATGTGTCCACACCGCGCTTGGTTCACACCTTCTGGCTGAGTCGACGTAGAGGAGGCCCAGCCAACGAGCCACCACTTCAGAAGCTCGCGAGCCACCGACGGTGACCGTGAGAGGGAATCCAAATCAGCCTCTCGCCACCCACAATGCACAGCGCAGCCTCCACTCGCCCCGGCCTCAGCGGAAGTAGCAGCGGGGGGAGGCGAGGGGGGTGTGGTGGGTGTGGGGGGTGAGGGGGGTGTGGGGGGACATGGGGGGTGGCGCAGGGGGAGTTATGGGGTTGAGGCGTTATGCATAATAAAGGTTTATTTGGGTTAGTCTCCAACACACCGATGTGCCAAAGTAGAAACTAATTGGCACTTTTGTTCACGTGACAAACTTTATTAATTGGCTGTGTCGGGTGGTGACGGGTTTTAAGACATTTATATTTACACGATCTTACCGCAAAAAAAAAACATGGGATTGGAGAGTTGGGGGTTTAGAGGGTTATGGGTTTAGTGTAATAAAGGTTTGAGGGTTAGGGGTTTTTTAGGGTTTGGGTTGTAGGGGTATAGGGGTTTAAACGGTTAGGAGATTAGAGGGTTAGGTGTTTAGAGGGTTTGGGTTTTAGGGTTTTTAGAGGGTTAGAGGTTTAGAAGGTTGGGGTTTAGAAGGTTAGGTGTTTAGAGGGTTAGGGGTTAGTTAGATTTTGAGATGGTTGGGGTTTAGATGGGTTCGGATTTAGGTTAGGGATTAGGGTTGTAGAATGTTAAGGTTTCGAGGTTTACAGGGTTAAGGGTTCTGAAGGTTACGCTTTAGAAGGACATAGGTTTCGAGGGTTAGGGTTTTAGAGGGTTTGGTTTTTAAGGATTTAGAAAGTTGGGGGCTCAAAGAGTTAGGGGTTTGGGTTCAGAGGGTTAGGGGGTTAGAGGCATAGGGGTTTAGAGGGTGAGGAGTTTAGAGGGTGAGGGGTTTAAGGGTTAAGGGGATTAGAAAGTTAGGGTGTTAAGGGTGAAGGAGATTAGAGGGTTATGGTTTTCGGAGTATAGGGGTTTAGAGGGTTAGGGGTATAGAGGCTTAGGTGTTTATAGAGTTAGGGTTTTAGGAATCTATGGGTCTGTGATTAACACGAACCCTATGGGAGACCCAATGATTAACACTGAACCCTATGTGAGCCCCAGTGATTAACACTGAACTCTATGGGAGACACAGTTATTAAAACTGAACTCTATGGGAGCCCCAGTGATTAACACTCAACCCTATGGGAGACCCAGTAAATAACAATGAACCCTATGGAAGACCCAGTAACACTCAACCCTATGGAATGCCCAGTGAGTAACACTGAACTCTATGGGAGACCCAGTGAGTAACACTGAACCCGATGGGAGACCCAGTGATTAATACTGAACCCTATGGGAGACCCAGTAATTAACACTGAACCCTATGGGAGACCCAGTGAGTAACACTGAAACCTATTGGAGCCCCAGTGATTAACACCAAACCCTATGGGAGACCCAGTGATTAACACTCAACCCTATGGGAGACCCAGTGAGTAACACTGAACTCTATGGGAGACCCAGTGAGTAACACGAACCCTATGGGAGACCCATTGATTAACATGCAACCCTATGGGAGACCCAGTGAGCAACACTGAACCCTATGGGAGATCCAGTGATTAACACTTAACCCTATTGGAGCCCCAATGAGTAACACTGAACTCTAAGGAAGTCCCAGTTATTAACACCGAACTCTATGGAAGCCCCAGTGAGTAACACTGAACTCTAAAGCAACCCACTCCCGAGTGTGCTGATTCGGTCTCAATAGGTGCTCGCTAACAGCACATTCCCCAACAGTCTCTTCAGGCTAAAAGGGAATCTCAAACAGGGAATGTATTTGTCTTTGTGTGAGAGTGAGTCAGAGTAAGTTTGTGCGAGGGTGAGTTTGTGAGAGTGAGTGAGTTTGTGCGAGGGTGAGTTTGTGAAAGTGAGTTTGTGAGAGTGAGTGAGTTTGTGAGAGTGAGTGAGTTTGTGAGAGTAAGTGAGCTTGTGAGAGTGAGTGAGTTTGTGAGAGTAAGTGAGCTTGTGAGAGTGAGTGAGTTTTTGAGAGCGAGTGAGCTTGTGAGAGAGAGTGAGCTTGTGAGAGTAAGTGAGCTTATGAGAGCGAGTGAGTTTGTGAGAACGAGTGAGTTTGGGAGAGCGAGTGAGCTTGTGAGAGCGAGTGAGTGTGTGAGAGTGAGTGAGCATGTGGGAGTGAGTGAGTTTGTGAGAGTGAGTGAGCTTGTGAGAGTGAGTTTGTGAGTGTAAGCTTGTGAGTGTGAGTGAGCTTGTGAGTGTGAGTGAGCATGTGGGAGTGAGTAAGTTTGTGAGAGAGAGCTTGTGAGAGTGAGTGAGCTTGTGAGAGTGAGTTTGTGAGGGTGAGTGAGTTTGTGAGAGTGAGGGAGATTATGAGAGTGAGTTTGTGAGAGCGAGCTTGTGGGAGTGAGTAAGCTTGTGAGAGAGTGATTGAGATTGTGAGAGTGAGTGAGTTTGTGAGAGTGAGTGAGCTTGTGAGAGTGAGTGAGCTTGTGAGAGTGAGTGTGTAGTATAGCGATTAGTGTGCTGCGCTACGAACTTGGCGACCCAGGTTTGATTCCCTCTAATGGTCAACACTGGTGACGATTATCTGAACCAGGCATCCCGTAGGTCAACACAGCCTCAAATGAGTGCCTGCTGAGGTGCACACACCTCACCAGGCACTCATTTGAGGCTGTGTTGACCTACGGCCAACTTCATCTCCCTAGTGGTGATGTGCACACACCTCACCACTAGGGAGACAAAGTTGGCCGTGCCTGTTGCTGGCCACCCACCCCCTCGTGTTCCATGCTGGCTTTCATAGGTGCTTGCTAACAGCATTTGCCCCAACGGTCTGTTATGGCTATACGGGGGATCTTTATCTTTGTGGGTGTTTTTGTGTGTGCGTTTGTGGGTGGGTGAATTATTGAGTAGATGAGTGGGTGACCAAGTGAGAATTGGTGGATGAGAGAGTCTGTGAGTGAGTGAATCTGTGAGTGGTTGAGCGAGTGGATGAGTGAGTAGGTGAGTGAGTAGGTGAGGGAGTGGGTTAGTGAGTGTGTACATTTGTGTGTGAGTGGGTGAGTAGGTGAGAGAGTGGATGATTTGATAAATGAGTGGGTGGGTGAGTGCATTTCTGAGTGAGTTAGTGAGTGGGTCAGTGAGTGGATAATTGAGTGGGTGAGTGGGTGAGTGAGTTTCTGAGTGATTGGGTGGATGGGTGAGTAGTTGAGTGAGTGGATACGTGATTGAGTGAATGAATAAGATAATCATTGGCGAAGTAGCTGAATGAGGAAGTGACGGAAGGAATAAATGTGAAAATGTGGGTGAGTGAGTGACTAATTGAGCAAGTAGATGAGCGCATTTGTGAGTAAGTAAATGAGCAGGTTATTGATTGAGTGGATGAGTGAGTGGGTGAGTGACTGATGGAGTGAGTGGGTGAGTGAGTGATGAAATTATTGGGAGGGTGAGTGGGTGAGTGATATTCTGAGATCGTGGTTAAGAGAGTGGATGCTTGAATGAGTGGAAGAGTGGATAGGTAAGTGGGTGAGTGAGTGTGTGGGTGAGTAGGTGAATGAGTTTCTGAATGAGTGGCTGAGTAAGTGGGTTGTTGAATGAGTGAGTAGTTGAGTGAGTGGATGAGTGAATGGATGAAATGATTGAGTGGATGGGTTAATGGTTGCGAGTGAGTCGGTGGGTGGATGAATGAGTTTCGGAGTGAGTGGATGAGTGAGTGAGTCTGCAAGTGAGCGAGTTGGTCAGTGAGTGGCTGAGCGAGTGAATGAGTAAGTAGGTCAGTGAGTGGGTGCGGATAAGTGAGGTAGTTTTTAAGTAAGTGGGTCGGTGGTTGAGTGAGTTTCTGAATAAGTTAGTGGGTGAGAGCTTCTTAGTGAGTCTGTGAGCGATTGAGTCTGTGAGTGAGCGAGTCTATCAGAGAGGGAGTCTGTGAGCGAGTAAGTAAGTGGGTGAATCTGTGTGCACATGGGGAAGTGGGCGAGTGAGTGCACGAGTGGGTGAATTATTTTGTGAGTCAGTTTCTGAGCGTGTGAGTGGGTGAGTTTATGAGTGATTATGTGAGTGGATGCACGAGTGGGTGAGCAAGTGGGTGGGTAAATGGGTGAGAGAGTTCTTGAGTGAGTGGCTGAGTAGGTGAGGGATTGGGTGAGCGAGTAAGCCTGTGAGTCGTTGAATGGATGGGTGCACGAGTGGATAAGTCTGTGTGAGTCTATGGGTCTTTGTGCAAGTATATTGTCGGTGTTTCGACGGGTCTTTGTTTGAGTTAATTGGTTTCTGTGTAAGTCTATGGGTCTGTGTGAGTCTATGGATCTATGTGCGAGTCTTTGGGTCTCTGTCTGGTGCACATAGCCTGGCATGTGAGTAGGGGGCGTACCCCTGTGCGTATGTGTGGCGGGGACACCGTACCCTTGTGTGTATGTGGGTGGGGTACCGTAACCCTGTGTGTATGTGGGTGGGATACCGTAACCCTGTGCGAGGGGATCTTTCCACCCTGGGGCAGAGGGAGGATCATGAAGGTGGACCCAGAAGCGCTCGGCTTGGGAGACGAACCTTCCTCCTCCTGCTTCTTGTTGTTGTGCTGGGGGGTAGGGGGTGTGGAGAGGGAGGAAGGGAGGAGGAAGAGAGGAAACTAAACTATTTATATTTTACCAGGTGAGGCCCACCGAGCTACACAGCTCTTCTTCAGAAGAGAAAAGGCCAAAAATTATCGGTCAACGAAGTGGCTTATCATCACGTCGACACTTATAGAAACCAAACACTCTGAACGCGACCACAGGGAGAGAGAGACATGCAAACTTAAAATATATAGCAGGTGTGAGGGTAGGGATCGAACCCACGACCTCCTGTATTACAGGCGAGGTAGTTACGGGAGAAAGGAGAGGGATAGAGGCAGGGAAAGAGAGGGAGGTAGAGGGGGTGGGGAGAGTGGGGGGAGAGGAAGGAAGAGTGGGTAGTGGGTAAAGGGAGGGGGGGGGGGAATTAAGTCAAACTCACAGTATTGCTTGCACTCACCATGATACAATCACCATCAAACTCACACTGTCACATACCATCACTCACATCCTCACCACGAAACTCACACACCCACACACACTCACCCTCATAAGCACACCATTACCATCCAACTCGCACACACGACATGATAGTCACACACTCAATCACAATTACTTACACACAAGCCCACCAACTCACAACGACAATGGCCACCATTCGCCACTACGTGGCGGTAATATCATCACAACAAACCAGGTGCCATGGGTTGACTGCTGTGCCAGACTAGATGCAGGAGCAGGAGCAGCAGTACACGGGATAGACCCAAGTACCATGGGTTGACTGCTGTACCAGGCTAGATGCAGGAGGAGGTCACAGGACAGATCCGGGTGCCACAGGTTGACTGCTGTTCCAGGCTAGGCACAGGAGGAGGTCACGGAACAGATCCTGATGCTATGGGTTGACTGCTGTGTGACAAATCCACTCGAGTGACAGCCAAGGTCAAAGGTTGGAGTGCAGCCAGTAAACTCCTGACCCCTGAACCTGGACCACCCAGAAATTAGAGGGGGATGGAGACACGGGGAGAGAGAGGAGGGAGACACGGGGAGAGAGAGCAGAGGTAGGAGGAGAGCGCGTGCAGGAAGCGAGAGCTCCTCTCGAGATGCAGGAGGTAAAGATGGCCCAGAATCAACGACGACTGCAAGGTATGCTGGGAGGCAAGGTCATGTGACCAACGCGACACAGGGGCGGCAGTGCTGGCTGGAGCCATCGCTGTTGGAGCCGCATGGGCAGAGGACCCAGAACGCATCCTTCATCCCAGCACCTGCACCAACCACAATCACCACCACAACTATAACCAAAACAACCATAAAATAACCACAACTAAAACCACACCTCCAATTAGCACGGTTGGCTGGGTAGGGTGCGATAGAAGTTCAAAATACATACAACTACCAAAACAACCATCATAACCACCTACACCACAACTATGACCATTACAACCACCACCTACACAATTATAACAAATATAACCACAAAGACCACAACCGCACATATAACCACAACCTACACAACCACAATTATAACCACAACCAAAACCACCACAAGCACCACAACCAGAGCCACAATTACCATAACAACCAACATAACCACCTACACCACAACTGTAACCTCAACCACCACTACAACCACCTATACAACCAAAACTAAAGTCACAATTATAATAACAACCACCACCACAACAACCACAACCACCACAACCACCACCACGATCACCACCACGACCACCACCACGACCACCACCACGACCACCACCATGACCACCACCATGACCACCACCATGACCACCACCATGACCAAACAACAAAAATATTGACGCAGATACTACACAACCACTGCATGAAGGGTCTTTATCCCTCTGTGGTTGGGTGAGTGGGTGGGTGGCTGAGTGAGTGGCTGAGTGAGTGGGTGGCTGTGTGGGTGGGTGAGTGGGTGGCTAAGTAGCTGAATTGGTGGGTGAGTGAGTGGGTGATTGGGTGAGTGGGTGGCTGAGTGGGTGATTGAGTGGGTGGCTGAGTGGGTGGCTGAGTGAGTGGATGAATTGGTGGGTGAGTGAGTGGTTGAATTGGTGGGTGAGTGAGTGGCTGAGTGAGTGGGTGGCTGAGTGGCTGAGTGGGTGAGTGGGTGGCTGAGTGAGTTGGTGGCTGAGTGGGTGGGTGAGTGAGTGGCTGAGTGTGAAATGGACTCGAACCTGCACCTCTGCATTGCAAGTCCAGTGAGCTCACGGCCCGCGTGTGGAGGGGTAAAGTGTGGCTACGCCCAGCGTGGAAGAGGAGACCAAATACTCCACATCGCGGCCTCAAGTGGAGGCCATTTCTGCCACGACAACAAATCCGTCCCTCCAGAGATACAAAAAAACTAAATTTAACTCATCCCATCAGCCGCAATCTGGCAGTGCCTCTCCTCATCATCATCATCAGCAGCAGGGCCGTGAACTCAGCAGGCGCCTAGCGCGTGACGGCTGTGGGCCAGGCGCCTCCTCTGCCTCCCCCTCCCCCGCACCACCGCCACTGCTGCTGTGTCCACACCGTGCAAGCTTCTCGCCTTCTTCGGGCTGAGTCGACGTAGAGGTGGCCCAGCCAGCGAGCCGCCGCTTCAGAAGCTCGCGAGCCACCGACGGTGGCCGTGAGCGGGAATCCAAATCGGCCGCTCGCCACCCACAATGCACAGCGCCGCCTCCACTCGCCCCGGCCTCAGCGGAAGAAGCAGCGGGGGGAGGGGCGGGGTGAGGGGGGTAAAGGGGTGGGGCGAGGGGGTGTGGCCATGGGGGGGAGGAGCTCCGGTGGGGGGAGGGGCTCAGGGCTGTTTACGTCGCAGTGGGCGTGGTCTCATGGTACCGCCCCCTCGTCTCGAGCCACGCGCTTCCCCCTGGCAGTTTGTCCGTTAGAGAGGCGGGGAGAGCATCTGGCGAAGGTGAGGAGCGGTGAGGTGGTGTGAGTCTGTGTGTGTGTGAGTCTGTGTGTGTGAGTCTGTGTGTGTGTGAGTCTGTGTGTGTGAGTCTGTGTGTGTGAGTCTGTGTGTGTGTGAGTCTGTGTGTGTGTGAGTCTGTGTGTGTGTGAGTCTGTGTGTGTGTAGTGGTTAACGCGCCGCGCTATGAACCCGGTGATCCCGAGTTGGATTCCCGCTCAAGGCCAACACCGGTGACGATTATGTGAACCGGTCCTGGGCCTCCCCTAGGTCGACTCAGCCTCAAATGAGTACCTGGTGTGGTGTGTAAAGCGTCGCCACTAGGGAGACAAAGGCGGTCGGGCGTTGTGTTGGCCACCCATTCCCTCGTGTGCCGTTCTGGCCTTCATAGGTACTGCTGGCTATCAGCACTTGCCCCAACAGTCTATTTCATCTATAAGGGGGATCTTTATCTTTGTTGCTAGTGGTGTTGTTGGTGGTGTTGATGGTGTTGGTGTTGATGGTGGTTGTGTTGGTGGTGGTGGTGTTGTTGGTGGTGCTGTTGGTGGTGTTGGTAGTCGAGTTGGTGGTGGTGTTGTTGATGGTGGTGTTGTTGATGGTGGTGTTGTTGGTGTTGATGGTGGTGGTGTTGTTGGTGGTGCTGTTGGTGGTGTTGGTAGTCGAGTTGGTGGTGGTGTTGTTGATAGTGGTGTTGTTGATGGTGGTGTTGGTGGTGGTGTTGTTGGTGGTTTTGATGGCGGTGGTGTTGTTGGTGGTTTTGGTGGTCGTGGTGGTGTTCGTGGTGTTGGTGGTGTTGATTGGGGTGTTGTTGGTGGTTGTGTTGGTGGTGTTGATGGTGGTGGTGTTGGTGGTTTTAGTGGTCGTATTGGTGTTGTTGGTGGTGCTGTTGGTGGTGCTGTTGGTGGTGTTGGTAGTCGAGTTGGTGGTGGTGTTGTTGATGGTGGTGTTGTTGGTGTTGATGGGGGTGGTGTTGATGTAGGTGGTGTTGATGGGGGTGGTGTTGGTATTGTTAGTGGTGTTAGTGATGTTTTTGGTGATGGTGTTGATGGTGGTAATTTTCTTGTTGGTGGTGGTGCTGGTGTTGTTGGTGGTGGTGTTGTTCGTGGTGTTAGTGGTGGTTCCTACGATCCGTCATGGCTTTAAACAGGCTGGATTGTGTGAGGGGCTCACAAATCCTTGAAAGATCTGGACACTTTCCCACCAGTAAGCTCCTCCGGCAGGCAAGGCTGCGTTGGCTGGGTCTTGTAGCCCGAATATCCAAGCAGTTTTTTTGGCCGCATAAAGGGGGCTAAACGGGCATGACATGGGCTGTCGAAAATATGCACTGATGCTGTCTGGGAGGATGTGGAGCTGAGTGGACTTGCAGAAGAGTGGTATCAGCGGTGTAAATAGCATCCTTCACGAGGAAGCTCGTGAAGGATGCTACTGGGCAGTTGGAGGCAGTCGCCCTCCAACAACAACTGAGGGCAGAGGAGTGACGCTCACAACGAGTGGCGGATAAAATTCAGCAAGTTGGCACAGTTTGGGATACAGCTGGTGTATCTACCAGTCATCTCAGCCAACCTTTGGAACCTGGGTCTATCCCGTGACGTCTTGACAGCCTTCGGCACTTGATGTGGCCTAAAAGTGCACCTGGCCCGGCACAGGCGCCGTGGTGACATCACCGCTACTTTGTGGCGAATGTCGGTTGTTGTTTTTGTGTTTCGTGTTGTGAGTAAGTGGTGATGATGTGAGTCTGCGTTGATGATGTGGGTTCATGGTGAGGATGTGAGTCCTCGTGTTGAGATCTGGGTGCCGTCACGCCCCCTCGACTATTTGTGATCCTCGCCTTCGTCTCCTGCTCCGCATGCAGAGACCCGGACTGTGCGAGAGACGCTGCGAGTTCTGTGCACCCTGCTCTGCAAGTTGCCACCATGGAGGTACGTGTGGCTCCTCCACTCGTGTGGTGAAGTATGGATGGACGTGTGCTCTCCACTTTGCGTGTGGCTACCAGTCACCTATCCATATACCTGAGTGTGCATCTGCTTGCCTGCCTGAGTGTGTGTGCATCTATCAGAGTATCTCCCCCGAGATCCTGTGTACCTGCCTGTCTACACGTGAATAATCTACAGTACTTTTATCTATCCACTACTGGATGAAGGCCTCCTTCCCTGAGACCCTGCTACCACCCCTCATGATCCTGCGATGGAATAATCCACCAAGCACCGATTTTGTCGCTCCATCTTTCTGCTGACCTCTCAGACGTGCTCCGATACTTGGCTGCAGCTCCGTTATTGTTCTTGATCATCGGCCATCGTTGTTCCTCCTGGCCGTGGCATTTCCTGGCCCAGCCCCACTTCTCTTAACAGTTTGAAGGATGCCATTCACCTGCGTGTGTCCTCTAAATCCACACGTGTCTCATTGTAAATCCAGGTGTGACATCAGATATCAGCCAAATATCCCAACGCTGAGAACTTACAACATCTTGGCAGGACCCTCCTGATTGTGGAGCCCAGGATCTCAGAGATCCTGGCTCAGTGCTCGCCTCCTGCGCTTTCCCCAACATCTTGCTAAAGCTTACGTGGTGGACCTTTGTCTTTGTGTGCATGTAGATGAGCCGAGCTGGAGAGGCGAGGAGTAAGGGCGAATCTTGCACCACGTGGAGTGCGCTGTCCCCAGAGGGCACCGCCTCCGCCTGCAGCAAATCACCGCAAGGTAAGAACGGTAATGAGCGACGTCACAGAGGGCCATGGTGAATGCTGTAACATCACGATGGCCATGTTGTATGGTGGATGTCACAGTGGCCATGATGCAGTGGAGATTTCATAGCGACCATGATGCATGGGTGATATCCAGGTGGCCAACGTACGGTGCAAAAGAAGTTTAGCATACATACAGACATACCTGGTATTGGCCAAAATATCCCAATCCTGAAATATTTTCCTACAAATTGCTCAAATTTGGGATCACACAGCTGTTGTTGTTCTTCTCATGTCTGCAGAAATCATGGCTCTCTTTGGCCCTCACTTGACCAACCGTGAGAAGCTGGAACTCGCAGCCATGCAGGAAGTGTGGTACTTTGCACTCTACAACAAATCTGAGGGATTCAACAATGGTGGATACGACGACTACGAACGAAATTACATTCTGGTGAGGCTCGCCACAAAACACCAACTGTGGGGGCGGTCACAGGGCCTATCGGTAGCGGGGTTTGCGGCTTCTTGTTATTGCACCTGAAGTACCAACCAGGGCTATTACACACACACACACCAATGCACTTCAGAATCAGAATTTTTAATCCCGAGTAAAGCCCATTGAGCTAAGAAGCTCTTTTTTAAGGGTGACTGAGCCAGCAGACATCAGAATATTCCACAATGACAGGTAAAAAAAACGTAATAATTACAGAGAATACTTTTGAAAATTACATTCTCACTTAAATCTTGAATTAAAGCTTTCGTGACTGCAGGAATTCATATTCTTTGGGTCTTTCGGTAAAGTCACGTATATAGGTTCAAAGAAAAGAACAAAAAACAAAAACTATGACGTTTCGATCGCAACACAAGTGGTCGTCTTCAGGAAAAGGGGGGTTAGCTTCCCAAGGCAAACTGTTTATAATGGTTTGAATTGGGCGTAGCCCAAATGTCAGCAGCCAATATTAATGCAAGTGGTGGGCAGCCAACCCGGCAGTTTCAGATCTGCCTTATGTTCGGGAACAGAAGGCAGATCCGAAACTCGTTAGGATCTGAAACACGGTAGGACCATACCTCAGCCGTGGCTGATCATTGTTTTAACGTGGTGGGCTCACACGAAATGTATTTCTCTAAGACGAAGGTACTTTGCAAGCCTACTGGCTATCAACAAAGATTTTGTTCATGAAGCCATTCATATATATAGACACAGACACAATTTCCACCGAGAAGATGGGTACAAACTGTGCAATCATTAGAAGGACGTTATCAACCAGTTTAAGTCATAACTGGCTATGATGTTCCCATCCTACCACCTTCCGATGTTAGTTGTGCTTCATGCCCATTTCAAACTTGCGCTTTCACAGGATTCTCACGAACACAGCCACTTCGCGCGCCGACCCCTCGGTTGCTGCTCTGCGATCTTCCATTAACATTCTAATCTCTAATTAGCATACTCATGACTCATTAACATGCTAATCTCTCATTAACATGCTAATCTCTCATTAACATGCTAATCACTCAATAACATGCTAATTTTCACCTGGCAGCCCTTTGATTGTTTTTTGGTTATTTTCTTTGAACCTATCGACGTGCCTTTACCGAAAGACCCAAAGAATATACATCCTCACTTCTTAAACTTTGTGATTGGAATTATTTACACTTTAAATGATTGTACCTTTTGTGCAGTTCCGGCATGAGCACCTCCACTACCGCTATGAGGTGCTGAAGAAGATTGGAGAAGGAGGTCAAGGCCAGGTGATCCAGTGCCTTGATCACAAAAGGAACACCCTGGTGGCCATCAAGATCCTGGTGTCACCATCGAGGTAAGACTTCAGAGCCGCCCCGTCACGAGGCCGATGTTGTTAAGTCCGTTGCCACGGGCAGCCGTGCGATGCGGTGGTGACACCTGTGCATCAAAGTGAGAAGGGGGGCCTGGGTTCGACTCCTGATTCGGGTGCCCTCCTGTATGGAGTTTACATGTTATACCCCTGTTCTGCATCAGTTCCTTCTGGGTTCTCAGATTTTTACTCCATAAAGCTTAAAATACACACACAGTGTAAACTAATATTGGGGCAAAGCATCCCATTGCTGAAGGATTACCTGCACATTATGGTAATTCCTCATTTAATGCTGTAGATACATTCCTGAAAAGTTCCGCGTTCAGCAAAAAAGTATTGAGCGAAAAT